ACATGCATATATTCGTTAGTTTAAATACTTCTTAAATAGACACTTTTAACTTGATATTATTTAAAGTTGTCTGCATTTTGAATCTTTACATTTATTGTTCCTAAAACTCTGCCCTATAAAATTTAATTTCTAGTGCTTATTTCACTACTCCCATTTTTTTCTGAATCTATAAAATTGTACCTCTTAATTCCTTTCATTTTCCTTCACAATATTATTTTTTTCGCAACCGCTAATACTTTTAAAAATATTATCTAGCATAATATTATTTTTTTTCCATTGATTAAATTTCACAACCTTTATTAATATGTAACACATTTTCTCTTTAAAATAGTTGATATCAAAAGCATCGTAATTTTTTCTATATATTATATTGATTTAAAATTTATTCATCTCTCAAATTAATTGATTGTTTCGAAGTATATTTAGTTATATCTTTATTAGTATCATGTACATATGCGTTATGAGTACTTCATGCAAACGAACACCTCGTTCAGTTAATTACTATTAGTACATAACCTCCCTTACTTCATCTAGGCTAATGGACCAGAATTCCAACTTCCTGTCCATCCTTATTTGCCTCTTCATCGATCACCTGATGATGATGTCGAAATTTGCGCTCAACCCCTTTGGAATCTTCCTTCAGCATCCAATGAATCCTTAGGGAATGGCGCTATTGACAGGTCAGATGATTATTGCCCTAGGGATAATAAATCAGCAGCTTCTTGGGAAGATCGAGTCGCTGACATGCATGATAATTGTATTGAAATGTTGTCAACAAGAAGCAGTATTACAGGGTTTCCTGATGCGTTCACGAAAGATGCATATGTGCCAAGTATAACGAAATCAAATACAGGATTATATAGTCAGAGAGAAAAAGCTAACATCCCCGGTTCGATCCATTCCATAAACCAGGAAGGGAGAAACCTAGAAGATCCACTCATTTGGCTGCCTCCGTCTGTACATAAATCGGCCAAGGGGCAACTACTCCACTGGAGGCCGTCCATCGGACTTTCGAATGAATTTTCAGGAGAGGTCCTAATCGATTCCAAAGGAATAATAAAGGATGGAAATTCGGAAGACATTTTTTATACCGAAAATTTTAACTCATATACAGCTTGTGATACACAAATAAACTTAGTTGAATTGGAAATTGAGGAAAAAATGACCAAAGAAGATATGGGAGGAAGAAAAGTCAATAGAGGAGAAACTGAATTAGGAGAAGAAATAGAAGAAGTAAATAATATGCTCAAAAAAGTTAGAGAGGCAGAAGGTGCATTCAGTGCCTCTAATCCACTGCTTACGAGGCCCACTTCTGAAGTAGACTACTCCCAAGACTTCTCATGGTTTCCAAACCAAAGTATGCATTGTTCTAACAAGACGAGGCCTTCAGACGTTCCTGACGACTTCACGGAGACTTGGTATCGCACTTACAGAGACGGAAATCCAGATGTTATTTTGTCTAAAACTGAATCTAGAGAAAAGAAGATCGAATGTAGACAGATGAGAAATCACTCCAAGCCGATACGTATCACACGAGAATGCTCACTAAGAACCGGATTAACCGATCGCTTTTTAGAACGAGCCAGTGACCTACAAACTGTACTAGTAAAGGTATGCTGCCTCGATTATATCATTAAGGCTGTAAACTTAAAATGTAGGATATTATAAGCACCTTAATAAGGTGTTGAATTCTGAGATATTGACAAAAGACCCAATCATTAAAGTTTTACTTTGATTTTCTGATCAAATTTTTCATACTGTATCTCGATCTATAGATCGACATTTTGCAATTTGACTTGCGTGCAAGGCTTTTAAGAAACTATATTACTTTCCCCAATTGTGGATTATGCCTCTGTATGTGATGAGCAATAGAGGCTATAATCAATAATCTAGACCGTTTATATTTATTATTTTAGTCCAATTAAAATCTTATTGAGTAAATGTATAGAGAATTAAAATACGTAATATCTTACATCCTTACACCAAAAACAATGGTTTCACATTAGTAATTGTAATCATAATGAAATTCGTATTTATTATGACAAACAAAAATGTTCTAGGTCCTACTAGAGAAAGCCATACCACACAGACACAATTTTTATAAATATTATGATATTCGTAAAGACAAGGTCTTTGAATTTCATAATGCAGCTTGAATAAGGATATTTGCAATCTATATTTATAAATGCCATAAGAGCAAAATTATTATTGCTTACTCGTTTTAGTGTACTGCTTGACGTTAAAAAGTCTACTACTTATAAATAGTATATAATTATAAATGTCAAAATATAACTTATTTCATTTTTATCTTATGTTCGAATGAGAAAGCAAAAGTCATTACAAAATAGGAGCTTTAATCACTCTAGGTTGCCTAACATAATAAAAGGCTGATAGTTGTGTTTTTTACAATAAGATTAATGAGCCTAACCACGCCATTCCATCTCAGTTAGCCTTATTACAGTTTCGATCTCGCCTGAGTGTCATTCTCGCCCAAGACTGGAATCGAACCCGAGTAGTACAGCGAATAATTAAAATATATCACCGCTCCATAACACTGACATGAATGCAATTAGGTCAACGGACAAAATTGAATTTAAAAGCAAGCTACACCATTACTATATCAAATATTTATAGTGTTGGTGTTGGTAAATCACAAATCAATTTGCCGTCACAGCTGACAATATAGCATTTATTTCTTTTGAGAAAGATTTTGAGGATTCGCTAAAATTACAGCATAGCATTGTGATTTAGGAAAGGTCTAACCTGCCTTGCTCTGTGACCGACTGGCATTTGAGGTAGTGTGGAGCAGAGATGAAAAGTCGAAAGCAAAATGTGCCTTACGCGTGTCCGATTCCCCTTAGTGTTGCTTGTGCAAAACCCAGACGAGGAAGAAACCGCAGTTATACCTACATAAGAATA